TCCTGCTGCCCTCCTATACAACCTGCATTCACAGTTCCTGTGTCCACTTCTTTCCTGAAGATCATCACCTCTCTGTATCAATGTAAGGTGCCTTGTTGTAAACCAGCTCTGTTAACTGAGCCAGATTCAAAACACACACACACAACTTTTTTTTCTTAACACAAATATTTCTGTAGGGGACAACTGTAGGAACGTTTATTTTTGTCTTCAGAAGGTCAAACTCTGATAATCCTTTTCAATGTATGTAGTATCCTATACAATCAATGATCCCTTTCTTTCTGATAAGATCACGTTTGGATAAAATCACACTGTAAGGCTGCTTGTGGCAACGAATCTGAAATATGTAAGCAGAATTTAGGAACCTCTTCACTCCCAAGCCTAGATTTCAGTAGGCCATTAAGAATTCAAGCAAAGATACCCTGTCCTGTTAATCAGCATGCCTTTCTAGAGAGTATCTATTTCCCAAATTACAGGAATCTGCATATGGAATTTTCCAGTTACCTCTCCTCAATGAGTCAGGACATGGCAGAGTGAAAACATCATTTTGCTGGTTTACAGAGGAACGATGTTTTTTTGCATCCTGCATACGAAGGTAGAATGTCAGGAGATCTTCCCCCTTTGGTCTTTTGGTGAGGTGCTTCTTCCGCCAGGATCTTGCTGACTCATCTTCTGTCTCACTGATTGTCATTCTGTGACGGGTTGCTTTTTCCACGTATTTGTCACCTTCCAAAATGTCACCAAAAAAAAAAAGTTACTATAACTGTGAAACAAGAATCAACTGAAGACAGCATAATGAATGGCCAAGAGAAAGCTTTGTCAATGTTTCTGAAGAAACAAGGCCTTTATCTGTGAGATCTTGGTGGTCTCTCTGCACCTGTATCAGTTCAGTGCTGGTTGCGTAAGCTGGCTGTAAACTCTGACTGTCCAAAGCAGTCGTGGCCATACATGTTCAACAGAACATCATCAAAGGTTATAAGCAAATATTAGGTAGTAAAGCTTATTGAAAAACTTACCTGTGTTCATCTTTTGCATACAACCAAGAGTGGGAGGTCGTATGGTGTGTGAGAAAGCAAGCCTGTTGTGTCAGGAGGATCAATAGTTTTTCAGGGTGCTGATCCTAGTAACTTCTGTTTCACTCTTCTTGCTTTAGTAGATCTTTTTTTCTAAACTGCTTAGTAATAGATTGCTGCTAGGCGGCATAAAAGCTTTGTCCCCTTTTTTCTTCATGAGAAGCTGATCGCAAATTGTGGAGGAAATGGAAGGAGATGCTGCATTTATTGTTGGCCAAAACAAAACCAAAAGCAACTGCTTCTTACCTGTAGAGTTTGCAGAGCCTGACTGTGGCTTAATTGCTCACTTGGTGAGATAAGAGGCAATGGTATGTTGAAACTTAACATATCCGTATAAGGCTATAAATAGAAACAAGCACTGTGGGATAATGACAAGAATATTGCAATGTGCTTCCTCTGTAGGCTTTCAAATCAAGCTTAACCCATTTGTAATGATCCACAGCTCACCCTGGCTAAGTTGAGACCGTCAGAAAAGGAGCTGACAAGTTCACCTCAGCTTTTAGCGACCAACAATATTTTTGACCAGCTCATTGCAGTACTTTGAGGTAGAAACGAGTAATAATGTCTATTGTAGAAAATCAGTGTAACAAAACTCAGTGCAAGATATGGGGAAAATCTATTTAACAAATCTCTTAATTGGTTTTACACAGTCACATTAGTGCCATAAAGAAATGTCACGTGATATGCTGGCTTGTCACCATCCTTCTCTTGCAGAGCACAGGGCCCTCTGTTGAGGAGGCGTCTGTGCTATGGTCTTGTCAGCGCACTGACCATCTGGGCTCACCCCACTCCTTGGTCCGACTGACTGGGAGCAATGTCCATCATTATCAGTGCCGACCTTACCTTTCACTCTTGCTCTGCTGTTTCTGCTGATGCTGGCACACACGCTGCCATCCACAGCAACCCTCGCTTTTCTGTTACAAATCTCTGCATTGCCTCTTTCTACAAAGCTCAGAAGCAGAGTTTCAGATTAATGTAAGAAGAGATGTACTGGGGCAAAACTCAACTCTGTGTAGTAGCCCACCTCAAATAATGGCCAAATCCCAGCTTCTAGGGCCTCCGGAAAGGGTATTAAGACACAGGCAATCACCATATTGCTTCCTGAAACAGTCTTGTAGTTCAGAGCCGGGTGTTTAGGACTCCTCAGTAGGCTGAACTGACTTTCCCAGTTCTGCTGTATCCTTTTTGATACAAGGGGACCTAAACTGCACGTAACCTTCAACAGCACACATTCAGGAACACCGTGGGTTTTTTTATAATGACAGAATACATTCTGAAGTCTTTTCTGTTTCTTCTCTAATAATTTCTAACACTCAAATTCCTCATACCAACAAGCTGGTGTTTCATGGGGGATCATACTGAAGAATAATGGTTGTTAGACCTCATCATGTTGCTCTTCTTTTCCTTTTACCTATAGTAAATATAATCTGCCAAGTGTAAGCAGCACGTTTTCTGAAGGTCTTCTGTAGTGTTTTATTACCAACCTTTGTGTTTACAGGCTTGAAAAGTTTACTCATTAGGTTTTTTTGCTGTTGGTGCTGTTTCACTCTTCACTGCCTGCCAAGATCAGGTGAGTACGTTAAACACCACAGGCCTCTTAACACAGCACTTGTGTGACACATCTGGAGTGCTGGGGTCCACTGTTCTGGGCTCTCCAGTACAAGAAAGACATGGACATACTGGAACAAGTCCAGTGAAGGGCCTCACAGAATCACAGAATGTTAGAGATTGGAAGGGACTTCGAAAGATCATCTAGTCCAATCCCCCTGCCGGAGCAGGAACTCAACAATGATTAAGGGACTGGAGCATCTGAAATACAAGGAGAGGGTGAAAGCTGGGACTGTTCAGCCTGGAATAGAGAAGGGAAGGCTCAGGGGGGATCTTACCAGTGTGTATAAATACTGGACAACAGGGTGTAAGGAAGATGGACCAAGGTCTTCTGGGTATCCAGTGACAGGACAAGAAGCAAGGGGCACAAAATGAGAAAAGGAAATTCTGTTTAAATATAAGAATAAACTTTTTAGTAAAAAAAGAGTAATCGAACTCTGGAACAAGCTGGTGAGAGAGGCTGTGTAGTCCTCATCCTCGGAGATACTCAAAACCCAACTGGACTCAGTCCTGGTCAACCTGCTCTGGCTGACCCTGCTCCACACAGGGGTGTTGGACTATACAATCTCCAGAAGTGCCTCCCACCTCAACTATTCCATGATTCCATGAGCTTTAAAAATTGCTGTATGGCAGGTTATTTATCGTTATGTTATCAGCCTGAACAGCGTAAGGTTGCCAAGTTTAAAGGCCACGAAAACCAGGTCAAAGGCCATGTGACTATCAGGAGCACAAATTCCAAGTTTATTAGGGATCCACAGTGAGACAGTCCTCCTACTGAGCCTCTAGAGCAGCAGCCTGTTAGTTTTGCAATTCTAGTTTTCTCTCACCAAACCTAAATAACGGAGGAAACAGTGAATTAATTCTGCAAACACTTTAAAGAAAATCTCAGCAAAGCAAAAAAGTCCCCATACTACTCTGTCAGGTGAGTATACACTACAGACCTTCAAGGGTTTTTTATAGTTAGTGTATGAAAACACTATCCAATGAATACAGGCACACAGAAATAATCTGAAAGGGAGCCCAGAAGCCAAAAATCTAAATGCTTTCTCAGCAAGTACTCACTTACCATGCATATACAGAAAGGTGTATAAAATGTTTGAGAGATGTACGTGTTTGGAGAGAGATCTCATGAATATACAAAAGCATTTTGCCAGCTACAAAAGTTGAGCAAAATTTGAATATCACCTGATTCAGTACTTTCAGTATTCTGATTAAAATATACAGTTCATGACATATAGTAATATGCACAACCATTTTACCAGTATATAAAAAATTTCATAATTCAACAACTCTGCAAGTATATATTAAGACTCACCGATTTTACTGACACATAGCACACTGAAATGGTGTAAAACCAAGTGCTGTGCTAAACAGGGGCTAATTTCACAATATCCAGGAGGTCCATGTTCCTCAAAATTCAACTTTAGCAAGTCCACTTGCAAGATTATTAATGCCAGGTCACAGTGAAGTCTGAGTGCTATGCCAGGTTACAACCAACCAAAAATACTGAAGTCATACACACCTTTAGTAAACACAAGCATGCTAAATTATATCAAGTCATTAAATGCATATATGATTTTAATAAACAAGTACATTTTTTAGTTGGGAGACATCTTTTCCTGGTGTGTTTGAAGGTTTGCCCGAACAATCTTTTTCTGGATTGCATGAAGCATCTGCAGCAGAAGATGTGTTGTTTGTGACTGGCTCAGCAGCATAACTATGCAACGTTTGCTCAGGTATCTGAATACCTGTAGAAAGGAAACACAGAAGGCAATACTGACTGGACGTATGGAAAAAAATCACCATGAGAGTAATTAAACACTGAAACAGGTTCCTCAGGGAGGTTGTGTAATCTCCATCTTCAGACAATCTCAAAACTTGACTGAGCAAGTCCCTGAGCAATATACTTTCTGACTTACGGACTGGCCCTGCCTTGAGCAGGAATTTGTACTAGATGACCCAAGAGTTCCCTTTCAATCTACGTTTTTCTATAGCTCTGTATGTTCTACATGCGTCACAAACATCCACTTTGACAACAATATAAAGCATTAATTCAAGGTTAAGTATTTTACACCATGAGAGATGGATACATTTTTTGTATCCAACATGAGCCACATATAAATGAGGGATGGCGGGGAATTCCCACATTACAAAGCATAATTTGAAAGACTAAAAATCCTTTCCCATAAAATCTGGTTCCTTACTTCTGATAAAGTAAAAATAAATTTTAAAATTAAATTCTGAAAGGTTCCAAGGTTTAACATAATCCAATATAAGTGCTTTGTAACCTATGCTCTGGGTCTTTTCTCAGCTCATACAAATTCCAAAAATGCCTCTCATAAGCTGAGAGAGACTAATTAGGTTTGAATTCTTTAATTTTTCTTAAAGCTTGTGTGCTACTACCTGACATATTAGAAATAAAACGCACTTACGCAAGTAAATCTTATCTACAGAATCGGAGAAAACCAGTCTAAACCATCCAGGTTCATAACAATAAAAAGCTTTTCCAGGACTAATCAGGAGCTTTTTATCAAGGAGCTTCTGCCACAATTCAAGTTCGGCTTCAAATGTCTGGGATTTTAAGAACTAAAAGAAGAAAATATTTTTTTATTAAAGGTTGAACAAGTGCCTAAATTCATAGAAATGACTTTTCAGGACTTGATAAAGTATGTAACAAAATGCATAAGTAATTTTTACACTTCCAAGTTTTACATTCCCACTCCTTTTCAATCTTCTTACATACTTTTCTGAAGTCTGCCCACACATAGAGTTCTCCTGAGCTTTTGAGCATGTGACAAGCAATAATATCCTCAATTTATGCAATCTTGATCAGAATAAAATCACTGAACATGCTAAGTATTTTGAACTAATGAGGTTTCCTAAACTCTGGAAAAATTACACTTGTAATTTTTTTGTTTGCTAGCAATTCCTTGTTAGCTGGAACTCAGAAGAATCCTTTTCAAAATCACATTAGACATGTTTCTTTAATTAACTTAGTGGGTCGGTACAGTAGCATATTCTCTCTTCTGAAGGTCAGAAGAATAGCTTTTTTATAACACTTCAAATTCCATTAAAATCAACAGAGAAAGAAACTTGGTTTTGAAACACAAGTTAAGATCTGTTCTTCATAAAATAGAGTCAGGGATTTTTCTGCATTTTGTTACAGTGCCCAGATTATAAAATCGATTTGACTAATGCTAGAGTTGGACCCACCTCAGTCACAAGACTGAAAATCTGCACAGATGAAACTACAAATGCTTCAATGCTGAACACACACTGCTTACAAAATAACAAGGAAAACATGAAAATTGGAATTCAATGTAAGTGATACCTGCTTTTTAGCTGTCTGTAACGCATCTTCCAATTTTCAACTGTTAACTGGAAAGGGTGATTTTCTTTGTCAGTCACCTACAGAACAAAAAAAAATCAACAAGAATACAAAAATATTAAAAATATTTAAAAAAATTTAAGAAGACAGTGAAGAAAACCTCCCACCTATTGAAAATACTGTTGCTACTGGTTTTTATAAAATAGAAGAATCTGAAACTAAGCTCAGTCTTCTCTATATAACCCAATTATTTTCTCTTTAAATGTTGCCCTTATCCAAGACTACACTATCAGTGCCATGCAGAACTTGTGTACTTGAAAGTTCACTTTTTTCCATACTCTGACAGTATCATTTGGTGTTATAAAAGATGCTTCCCTCCTTTGACTCGCCTCACAGATGACCAAACTTTCAAAGGGGGAACCAACGTTACACAACTTCTGTGGCAGATACATCTTTCAGTGCTTAAGGGGAAAAATCTGTAAAACAAATTTACTTGTAGTAGGAGTGACAGACTTAGAGCTAACAAGTTATAATTCAGCATGTCAGTACAGAACAGTGTCTGCACAGAACAAATGTAATCCTACACATCCAATGACACCAGCCTCCTGCCATGCTGCAGTCTGAGAAAAAGACAGGCTGTCTCTAAAAGTGGTAGACCGGTCCCATCTCTTCACTTGGACTCGATTTCAATTTTCAGTTTTTTTCTTATTGTTCCTTGTGAAATGTCTGTTAAAGTATGTGAATAACTAAAGCTTTACCTCACTGAACAAGGGCACGTGAACAGGCTGTATTCCACCGTATAGCCACGTTTTCAAATTTATACCACCGTAGTATGGAGCTGGAATAAGATACCCATCTAACAACATTAAAAAATGAAAGGAATATTTCTCATGAGCAATTATTTCATTACACTCTAATAGACTAAACTGACAACCCAAGAATTTGACATCTGATTTAATCTCAAAACCTTCACTATGGCCTAAAACAATATTTAAACAAAATTGAAAATTTAGCATAAGTCAATCAACCTGAATTCTTTACCAATTTTCTTCCTTAGCATTTGCAATAGCAGATTCGATAGTCACACAAATTTTCGGTGAAAGGGAATGGAGCTGATCAACTAGTTGTTTTATTTATTAATGTATTAATTTATATGTTTATTTATTTAAATAACAATAATGAGAAATTATGATCTTGCTTTCCATATTTTGCTAACTCTCTGTTATTATCCCTTTTCACCAGGCATTGCTGCAAACTTCAGCTACCTCTTTCTGCTTGCCAAAGAGCTGTCTGGCAGCTATAGCACTGGGGAACTTGTTTCCCTCCTTAATTTTTTTGCTGTAAAGTAGTCCTAGGTTGATGTTTTCCCGGAGATACCACAAAAGCTCTGCATGACAGGGTTTCAGAGGGGACAGAATGGGTTTCCCACCTTAACCAAGGGGTAAAGGGGACCCTATCAGTGTTCAGGCAGAAAAGTTCCGGTTAAAACTGTGCAAATACACTGAAATCTGACCGTATTAAAATGGACATGGATACAAGGAGCCTTCAGTAAATAACTAAACAAAGTTCAACAAAACTAAACAAGACTCATAGGTTTCACAGCTTTATTTGCCACTGATATGCTGAAGTCATTGCACCACGTTACTCTACATCACTCCACCCTCCTCCCAAGGGCTCTTGGTGCTGGGAACAGGGTGCTATGGGAGCAGCACAGCCTCCTGCGCTGGGGCCACGTAAGCCATCCCGCTCACCTTCCTTCCCTGGCAGGTCTCTGTGCATTTCCCCATTCTCTGCTGTGCTGCATGCCTACTCTGCCTTCCTCATTCCAGCCCACAGAGGAAAATATTTTCCCTTGCTGAGCTGTCTTTTTCCTCTTACTGTCTACTTCTGCGTGAGCAGGCTGTTTCCCACGACTCTACTCCTTCCGTTTCACCTTCCCACCTCTGTTTCCTCCTCAACACTGTGCTTGTTTGGCTGTATTTTCCTTATCCAGTTACCCAAAGTTCCTCTGGGTCCTAGATTTCAACCCAGTCTCCTCCCTCCCTGTGTGCCTGCTCCCTCCAGCTTCCACCATGGTTCCCACCTCTTTTTCTTGTAACTTTTCAAAATTCACTGCATTCTCTTGATACCCTTCTTCTCTTCCTATAACGTTCTTAAAAAACTGTAGACTGCATTCCAGAAAGCCAGTGTGCCTGCTGGTACCTCAAACATTTTCCACCATTCCAGAAACAGAGGCATTACATCAAAGACACTCTGCCAGTGACAGAGAAATACCATGCCTTGCTTCATTCAGGCAGTGAGAGTAACAGCAGGCTGTCAGAAGTCATCCTACAATTTTATTCACTGCTAACAAATGTTTTTAAGTACAATAATCAAGCTTTTACTCACCAGCGGGGTCACATAACACAGTTGACAGAGTAGCAAAAACAGCACAACAGCCATTCATAACAGTTATCTGAAAGAAGCAGCACAAACCTTCAATCTAATCTAGCAATCAAATATTTAGCAGAAATATCAGCACTTGCTTAAATTCATAAGTTCATAAACATCATCACTAGTTTAAAATCCAAAAAAACAGAGGGAAAAGCCACACTACGACACCTGCAACGCTGGTCCTTGACTGTTACATCCTGTCCACTTTTTCAAATGGAAAATTAACACCACTAAGACCTCTGCAAATCTTGCATGTATCCCTCTTGCTGACATTTGTGCTCAGATTTACTCATCTTTATCAGTTTAAGAAAAATAAGATGCAAAGATAAAGCACTTGTCTTACATGTTCCAGATTCAGTGTTTTTGCAGCTCTGGCACAGTGAGTCAGAAATTTGGCAATTTCTTCTCTGAAGCTAAAACACAGAATTAAAGTCAACTATGCAATTAACGTATTTCTCAGGGGGAAAAAAACCAACACAAAATACACACAGAAGAATGAAGTTTACCAAAACCAGAACAAACACATAATTCATTCTGTTGTGGAAGCCTTGAAGATTTTGATTAAATAACATAATTTCTTCAGATATCCAGTGTGTTACATTGTGTGAGACAGAAGCACAAAGAAGCCATCTGTTACCTTGAATAACAGAGACTCAACTTTTATTGCTAGAAAAATGAGAAAATAAGGCATCTTTGAGCCCAAGTAGGATCTGGTTTTGGAGAAAGGGCAAGAATTTGGTACCACAAACAGTGTAACCTGAGTTAATGGTGATTCTTTAGATCAAGACAGGCTTTCAGCCCCAGTGAAGATGATGGTGGAGTTCTTCAGGGAGCCAGTATTTCACCTCTACTCTTTACAGCCCTGAGAGTTTCAGTTTATCCCTCACCAAGACTAGAACGAATCACTCCAGGAGCAATTCGCCACCGCTCTGGAGGAAACATCAATACATCCACGCCCTCGTTTGTCAACAAACCCCCGGATCTTTGGCCTTTGGCGTTCCGGGTCTTTGTGGCACAGTGAGGATGTGGAGGAAACCAGAACAAAAATCCAGCAAAGTAACTCCTGAATAGAAACCACAGAAAGAATAAAACCACACCCAGCTTCACACAAGCCACAACTAGCACTGAGCACAAACAATGTGAGAAGCAGGAAAATGAACTTCTTACCTTCTGGTACCTTGTGTATCAGAATACTGGAAAAGATCAGGCTCCAGATAATTCATGTCAGGTCTTCCAAGCGAGTGACATGAAAAAGAGACACTGTAGAGTGCAGCATTCTTGGGAGCTTCTGTTCTGCTGTAGCATACTTATTTTTTTAAAAAAAAACCATTGCTCAGTAACATTGAGGAAATGGAGAATATAAAAATTCATGAGTTACAATTATGTTTATACTTTACACTTACCCTTTTTAGCTTTAAGATACTAGAAAACAACGTTAAAACACCATCAAAACAAAATAAGAGAATAATGAAAGACTTATTTATTGTTCTGTCATATATTAAAACAAGTCCTGAATAACACATCGAGGAAAAGCATCCCAATTGTACCTAAGAGATTATGCAGCCACTTCAGCAATACATCAAAGCCCAAACAATTCTTGCAATATTTATAATACCAGCTTTTAATTCACATGTCAACTTTGATTAGCTTCTCAATCAAAGGAAGAAAAGTGACAGCAACCTACCTGTTACAGAAGAAAACAGGCTGTATTATCAGCAGTGGCTTTCTTGCTCTCAAAGCAGGTGCCCCCCCTGAAAACTGGGTCAGTCCTGTACTCATTGTGTCATCGATTTTAGTTTATTCCTAATAAAAACATCCCTCTCCAGTTGCCAGCACTGACAACTCATCAGCTAACCGATCTATACGTTGAGTTTATGCCCGACCCTCCGTCACAAGCATTGCAAATGCCCTTAGCAGTTGCACTACTGCAAATTCATGACCTCATGCAAGTAGGAAGGAGAAGCAGGAGGCAATCTGCAAGCTACAGAAGCTGGCCTGGTGACTACATCTTTGTTCCGCTGACTCAGAAGGCAGAACACCACACTTTCCAGCAAACAAACTAGAACTAACAACTCTGGGGAAAATGCTTCCTTTAAAGAGTGTGCAATTCCCCCACAGTGGCGTTTACAGAGACTGGCTCTTACTGACAACATTTAGGATGTAATTTAGTGTAACACGTACATTTGGCATAACACTTAGGATGTAGCTTTAATTTTGCTCAGAGTCTGAATACCACATATGGAGCATTTTCAGTCAAAGTTTTGGCTTTGCCATCAGAAAAGTGAGCATCTTATCAGGCCATGACTTTCCCCTCAGAAAATAAATTTCTTTCTGAAAGCTGCCATTACAAAGCAATGTTTTCTGCCGAAACAGGAACAGAAATTTCTATCAGTTCTGCTTGGGCAACATGTTCAATCATATGTAAATGAAGTTCAAGCAAAACCAAAACTATTCTGGTTTTCAAACAGAGGCAAGCTTTCAGTGTCAATATTACTTGGCAAATTATTTCCGAGTGTGCAACTGGAGCAGTAGATATAAACATATACAGTATGCTTCCTGGAGACTCTCAAGGACTGTTTGTGCGAACAATGAAGAAAGAGGACGTAGTCTTTTTGCACCTAAGAGTCCCAAACTGATCTTTTCCCTCAGATTGTTCTTCACTAAACCATTTCAATTAATTAAAATTATTAAAGATTTTTGGAGACTAGTGAGGGACAGCACTGCTATGCGATACATCTCCCCTGCTGATCTCATAGCAGCTGATCTGGCACTGCTGCTCTACAACACCACAGGAAGGCTGCACAATTGGGAGTCTTACAAAAGCCACACCAGCTGCTAGAGGGTACGGAAGAAGAATTTTTCACACTTCATTTCTATTAGTCTGACTTACATTTGTGACCTAATACCAGTAAAATGATTTAGCATTTCTTTACCAGCCACCATCTGAGCCTCTGAAAGTATTTATTTCAACCTAGATCTCTCCGCTGTGTAATTGGAACAGCACTCTAAGAATTAGTCAATAGATTGTTATTTCAGTGTACCTATGACAGATTGTTACCCTTTGTCCCATTTTAGAAATGGGAAAACTAAACGCATTGTGCCTTAGAACAAGCTTTGTACCATTCCAATCATGTTGTGCATATGCTGATGAAAAAAAGAGAAGTAATGTGGTACAAGGACTTGCTAAAAACCTAAAACAGATTATAGAACTAACGTCTCCAAGTTTCTACCCGAGGCAAAACTGGGTATTAGTTAACACATGCTAAACTTTTCATGTATTACAACAGCTTGTACTGAGGTCAAACACATTATTGTCACGACCAACCTGCAATCTCCCTTGTGCTTCCAATGCCAAACGCTTCACTTAACCCGTACTTAGCATCTGACACCAAGATCATGCTGACAGACGGCCCACTTTTAAGAGAGAGCGTGTTAAGTGCAGTGGAGACTCTACAAACCCCTGTGATGAAATGTGTGGGAGAAGGGCTCCTTCCAAAGCCCTCTGCCAAGCCACCTTACCCTCCTGGCCGAGCAGCCCCTGTGGCAGCTGTAAACGGGTTATTCCCAAATGACACCAGTGAGCATGAAGTGGATTCCGACCTGTCAATTGATGCTGACAAACTGTAGTCCAGTCTCCCAGCTTCACTCTGCAGGGTTAATGCTGCTGAACTCATGCAAGAAATTCTCTTCTTCTTCCGGTCTCTTCCAAGTCCCTGCATTGGTCCTGTTTTTCTGTTTATCTTAACTCCCTGGAAAGTAAGCTTCACTCCCACCCTACTATATGAGCTTAGGAGGTATTGAATAATGAACAGTCAGATCCTCATGCAATAACAGAGCATGTATGTGTTTTACTATTTTCATAATAACTAGGAGTTATTAAATAAATTAGGCAACAAGTAAAATGATAAATTAATAATATTTAAAAGCCAACTATGTAATGTTTCATATTATAAATATATAGATGTATACACACATACTCAAACACACATACCCATTAATCTGAGTAAAATATTCAGTGAAAAAAATTAAATTCATACAATGCTTTTGTTTTGAAATTATATTTTTAAAGATTTGTTTGCTTTTGGAGTGGAGGAATTTGCTTCCCCGATGCCAGAAGAGGGGAGGGAGAAACTCCCTGTACAACATTAAATGTATAATGGTGCACACAAAATTTAGACTTGTTTGGATGAACTAAAATCCAAAGTGCTTGTCAAATCTAATGTGAATCATAAAATTGGTGTGTTTTAAACAGATTGTTTACTGTCATGCTTAAAATACTGTCAAGCAGAGGTCTAGCTGGTGATGTCTGTTATGAAACATAAGGCTAATGTAATCTAAGCCTCAGCAGACATTGCTTATCTTTTAATTTAATTTCACATGGATTAGGAAATATTTTCTGTTTTTTTTCCCCTTGGAAATAGAACAAAGTTTGATGCCTTAAGAACCAGAAGTTATACAATAAATATCTTGTGAAATTTTTACTATATAACAGAAATTCTGTTTCCCGAACAAACAAATGTGATCTACAGCAGAATAGTGTTAACAGTAAAAGGAACTAACACACTGGATGGTATTCAATGTCACAAATGCTTGGAAAAGCAAGTCTGGCAGATTTTGATTATTAGGAACTCAACATTCAGCCATCTGAGCCTTTCAGTACAACTAATTGCACTGATAAATGAATTGTGTCATCTTTTTTTCCAGAAGCTTTTTCCAGTCATCAACAGACTCTGGAATTGTAGATCACTTCAAAACAGGTACATTTTTCAAAGGCGGTGGCTGAAAAATTTATCAGCTACACAGCTGTAAGATGACAGCTTCAAACATAAATTGCTTTTAGAGTAAAAGCTGTATAAGCATTTATTTTTAAGAAAAACTACAGGATAGTAGAGCAACTAGAGTTCCTATTAGCAAAGTGAAATAATCATAGAATCCCAGTATTTAGCTTACGGCCATACCACCCAGAGAATGCCTGAATGCCCAAAATAATCCCTTGCTTGTTAGAAACAAGGTGTTTACATCTATATTTAACACTTGTTTCTTCAGAAGTCCCTCAACTACAGGGAAAGACTGGTTGGCAATTGAGAAAAGGTCAGTGACAGCTGACAATGTTGGAGACAGCAGGAGTGAAAGGAAAAATCTACCCCAGGTTCTCAGCCTTTTATATGGGCTGTAATATATACCCAGAAAAAACAACATCAGTATCACTTAAGGCAGGCAGGAATGACAGATGAGCCCGTAGGGAGGCACAGAATTTGTCTGGTTTTAGGCTGCTGATTCACAGAAGGTCTAGTTGGTTCTTGACCTGATGGAGGAGACGGAAAACAGTGGTCAAACGGCTCAAACGTGACATCTGCCATTTGGCTGCCTGGGGTACCTTCATGAGCCATTGCAGCTAAATCCCTGCTGCCCTATAGAACATGCAACAAACTTTTATCGTTCCCTTTTCACTCTTGGCATACTTCTTAACACCAGGTCTTGTGAAAGAGCCTCTACAGGCCAGCTGACGTTTCTTGCACAACGCTTGTACAGAAGGGATCATCCTCCATTTAGGTACAGGCTTTATGTTCTGTGTATGTTGGGCTCCTGTGCCTGTATAACAGATCTTAGCCAGGCTTCAGTTAAGACACTCTGCTACCTTTTAAGAGGAGATGTTAGAACAATTCAGAGTGTAACTGAAGATCACCTAACTGCAACTCGTTATTAATAGTGACCTACTTTCTTGGATCAAATGATATTACAGCAATAGTCAAGGTTATCTATATGGGGGGGTGTGTGTATCTGTATATATATGCACACACGCCCCTGAGCTAGTCCAGCACACTGGTGAAATTCCTTGCATGTAGAAAGGAAGAGCACAGATTTGGAAAGCAGATTTGGAGCCTAGGCTTCCTGGTTTTTAAGAACATTTCAAAGACAGTATAGGATCTAATTTTGGTTGAGGACTGATAGGACCTCAACATGCAGCCTAATGTAAGCATGCTTTCCTTTTTAACTTTACAAAATAATACTTGGTATTGGAGTATAAAGTATTCCAATTAAATGATTCCAAGTGTGAAGATAATTCCCCAGATTGTTGTACTGTCTTTGCTTTAATTACAATTGGCCTCTGCCCGGTCCAGTGCATTATGAGATTATCATTACTAGGAAGATGAAATAATTTTTATTTTCAATAAATCTGGTACATACATATCTAGACATAAGATAAAGTACAGATACTACTACTGATTTGGGCTAATCTTAGATACTTTTGTAATACCTGAAGATTTCTTTACCAAAATGAAAAGATGTAATAAACCACAATGTACTTTAAACAATTTTGGCAAGGTAAGAGCTAGAACACCACCTTCTTACAGAAGTGCTAGTTGTAGAAAAGAACCTCTGGTTGAAAAATAGTTAAGTCAGTAGGTGGAAGAATAAGTGAAGAGCTCCTAGAGCTATCTGAGAAACTATAGGAACTAATCAATGAAATTACCTGGGCTGAAGTTTCAAATGCAAGTATTTGAAAAAAAGATAACACATTTCCTTAGGTTAAAGATGAAAACTTTTTGGAATCTGAAGCTCAAGGAAGAGAAAGGAGTTCAGAGATGTTTTTAAGCAGTCTCCAAGAATAAAAGATGGGGATAAGAAGATACAGTTGTTGTGAAATGCAACTCGATATTCTTCTGAATAATAAACAGTGGCAGAAAACAAGATATAATCATCTTGGTTTGTCTTTTTTTTTTTTTTTTTTTTGGCTATAGTTATTCTGGAAGTATAAGACTAGTTGCCTACCAATAAATATATGAAGTACCACCCTTCTCTAACACCTCTCCAATGGCTATTAGAGAATGGCTTTATAGAATTTTAAAAAATATTTCCACCATTAGATATTACAGTTTATTCAAACAAAATCTATTTCTTGTGAGGAAATAAACAAGGATAGGAAATCAATGTTAGGTTTTGTGAACTATATTGATAAAAAGCAAAATTTAAAATTTTATGTGATAAACAACTGGACAGAACGTAACCAATGTTCTCTCAAAAATTTAATATCAATCTGAAGGAAGACAATTTTCTTCAAAATGAAATGTGAAATAATTTTATAGCATGTAAATTTAAAAGAAACTTTCATCTGCTGCATTAATAAATCCATATGAATATAAATAATCTGATTTAATCACATCATTTTCAATTACAGTTTAGCAATTACAAGCAAATACAAGTTACTATGCTAGAGTAATTTTTTGTCCAGGTCTGAATGTTGAGCCAACTTGCCCTTTCCTCTTCTTGGGATTCTGAAAATTATCATACCTGGAAACAGAAAAAGATATTAGCAAATTCTTATGAAATGCCTTTGTTTGCACATGCCTCTTCAGATACACATTAATGCAACACAGAACTACAGATGTTTACCTATGCTTTTATAGAAATGAAGAGTGCGTGTCTCCTCAGATCTGGGGACCTGGAGGAGTTTTCATCCACAAACCCAGCTCAGAAAGCTCCCTGCTCTGCTTCCTTGGCCGGGGGAAAGGGGAGGGGGCAAGGTGGGGCAAGGAACAGAAGTGAACAGGGTAGTATGGACTCCTGGGAAGCATCTCATTTTCCTTTCCTGTCCCTTCCCCCCTCTCTTTCCCCTGCAGTAAGACCTGTTTATCTATGTATCAGCTGAGGAAGACAAGTAACAATCTGCATGTCAGAAGAACCTGCTGGTGAGATCACAGAACATCCCAATGTCAGTTTCCAGCTTTTTCACTCCAGTCTTTTCCAAGGCTAAGGAGACACATTCTCCTTTTCTGCAGATTATTGCCTTTTCCCTAACATGGCAGCTACAAAGACCATTATGGAGAGTCAAAACCCAGCAACTGGAAAGTACAAGGGGCTACTACTCAATGAGAGCAGAAAAGACCTAGGTCTAAGTCTCAGAGAATCAGTGCCTCTTTGTACTGGTATAGATCTTAACATAATACAAGAGTCTTCTGGTCTGTGATTAGAATTTCCACGTCCTACATTAACAAAAATAACAAAAGACAACACACTGGTAAAATATTTGGTACGTAATTTAGTATTTCTGAAAAAAATTGCTGTCAGAAGCTATTCAACTCTGCCATTCCCCACATTAAATAACTATTGTGTTTCTGATGCATAAGAAATATTAAATAATAAAAAAAAATTAATACTTACAGTTCAGCAAAATTCTTCCAGTCATCTTGGCTAATGGATGGCCTTATACCCTCAAGTGCAGTCATCAGATGGGACTGGGTAATAATTAAAGCGTTCTTGGCAAGCACTGATTGATTAAGGGTGCTATCCTCCTTGAAAACAGAGCCATGACCACACAATGAAAAATTACCACAGAAACAAAGACACAGTGCCATAGATATCGGTAACTCTGGAACTTCCTCGTTACATGTACAGACAAATGTATTATAAATATAATCACAACTCCCCTGCCCCCCTTCCAGTATTAATAACACAGAAATAACTATTTAGTTATATGAATGTCAACACCTGGCTTATTTCTCCTCAAACTAGGTATCATTTGTTTTTGATATTTTTGTTACATTATATTTAATATTATTGCAGAATTTATTTATTGAAATACCAAGAAGTGTGAAAAAACAATAGAAAATGTTAAGACTAAATAATAAAAAAACCTGCCATACTCCATTCTTGCTTCTGTAATTGGCTTTGATAGCATTGATTTCTGTCCTCAGGTGCTCCATTTGCTGCTCCTGAT